GTAACACACACACACACAGCGTTTCTCTCAGAGACGCAGAATCCGTTGTTCATTCGCGTCTGTGCTGGATTTAACGCAATTTCCATTTTCGTCGCGACAGACCGAATTTCTTACATTCGGGTGCCGATTGTAGAACAGCAATTAAAACGGAAGGGAATCGTATTCCCGTGCAGTAGTTGGTGGTTGGCCGACGGCGTTCTGAAAGAATTATTTCGCGACACAGTTTCGGGAGAAAGAGCGCGAGCGAGAGCAATTTCCTACGAAACTTTCGACGCGCGAATAGTGCGGAACGAAGTGGATAGTTTCGCCCGACCGACGCGGCTACGGGTACCAAAGACGCCACTTAGTCCTTGTGAAAATTTAATTTCGACTCCCTCCCTACGGGGGGACACGGGGGAAATTGGGACAGCGTCATCAGGAGGGTTAATATACTTTGTGCATTTAGCGGCGAGAAGCGCGATGAATCGCCCCGGGGAATAAGAACGCGCGAACACAATACATAAGTTCGTCTTTAACATTTGGCTGTGTAGTTACAAAATCGCGAGCTAACTGCGAGAAAGAGAGAGAGAGACAGACAGGCAAATTTTGCGCAATGGCTATTGAATATGTGCGATGAGATTTTTTGGAACAAGAGCCAAGAGGGAAGACGCCAGCAATGTTTTCCTCCTTGCCGCTGAAACTTTTGGAGCATTCGAGGAGTGCCCATTTTTGTTTGCGCACACGACGGAGGAGAAAACATCGATCGAAGAACGCGTCACCGGAAAACGACATTATCCTCCCCCGTCGAGAGAAAGAGAGAGAGAGAGAGAGAGAGAGAAACACAACCAATAATTCAACGAGCGTTTTTGTTCGTGCACGCGCAAGAAGAAGCGAGCGAGCGGTCGCGCGTTTCCGCAGCGAGAGACACGCTGCGTCGTTGTGTTCTCCAAATCGGCGAATTTTTATCCCATTTTCTTGTTGGCGCGATGTCGCATTGAATTCGGATATCGCTCGATGTTTTTTTTATTTTTTTTTTATTTTTTATTTCAACTCTCGGATGCTTTCTTCGCGCGCAAAACTTGTTTAAAATATTGAAAGCAATAATGGAACACAGTAAATTTATACGCACGTTCTTCGTAAAATAAAACACACAAAGTTGTCTCTCGCAGAAGAGAACAAACAAAACGTACAAAAATGTATTCGAAGGAAAAAGTATCTTTAAGTCGCTGAAATATTTACTTAACCGTGCTTTCGCGTCTTATGGTGTTTTGTTATATTCCACGGCGTGTGCTTTGTTTTTTTTTTTTTTTTTTTTTTTTTTATCCGCCCGATATCTCAAATTCTGCCACTTTCCTTTATTCGAGAGATATTTGGTTGTTAAGGGTCGAATTTATGATTTCGCATAAGACCAGATAAATAATTCGCGATAGAGAAAAACCTCCGCGACACGCAAAACCTCGTCGGAATAAAACCGGCAATGATAACAACAAAAGCCAGTATACGCTCCCGTTTCCGAGACCGCGTATCTCTCGCGAAATGGTTTTCAGATTTTTGCGGCGAGAGAAGAGGAAAAGAAAGCTCCTCCGTGTGCCGGGGGGACGAAAAAGAAACGAAATTCTCATGAAAATTCTACAAACGACGATGGGAGGTGTTTCCCGTAATGTCCGCTGATCCTTACATTACAACCGCTGTTTCTCGCGCGTCACCTCCCATTTATTGTTCCGCGTTACTGCCGGTTTCGCGAAAGCGTTTCGATTTGTTCGGGGAGAAAGAAAAACGCGAAACGCGCGATGCAATTATCGAAAATGTTATTATTATTATTATTATTATTATTATTATTATTATACGTTGAGAGGATTCTCTGAAACAATGTTCTCCAAAGAGAACATTGTGAATGATTTCGAAACAACAACAAATGCCGCATCGAACGTATTAAATGAACAAAGTGACAATAGTTACGGCGCATAAATGATCGAAATGATTATCTCTACCCGTTGTAAAAGAATATTATACAACATATACGTTTCAAAAGAGAGCCGCAACAAATTAAACAAAACACCGTTGTTGACGCGATCGGTAAAATATTTCAATTACCTGACCGATCGGCATTTTTGTTATCCGCAATCGCGTATCGCGCGCAAATCTTGTTTTCTCTATATGAGCGCGCGCGCGCGTGCGCAATCGTTACGTCATTTGTATCATTAAATGCCTCAGCTAACAATTAATCGCATTATCCGAATGAGGCTTTACCGCGAGCTTGCAGGTATTTATCGTATCAATGGATTGGATAACGAAGTTTGCGTGGGTATATACGGCCGAGAGAGGTCGATACGCGCGCCGGCCGACGTATGAGCTTACGCATGTGGTGACAGAGGAAAAGCACATATGTGCTTTCCGAGATTCATCGAAAATATTGTGCCTCAGAAAGATTATCCGCGCTCAAGAGATTTTATTAACAAATTTGTGCGATATATTTGCTTTTGCGCGAAAACGTTTCTTGCGAAAAAAATCGCGCGAGCTTCTCCCCGCGTTTCGCGACACACACAAAAATACATTAAAAAAAAAAAAAAAAAAAACGAAAGAAAGCGGTGCACGTAAAAGCTCACGCGCACACGTTTCACCGAGAGTCGGACGATTAATCGGGCGGACTTTCAACGAGGAAATGTGCTTAGCTCTCGCGGTATGCGTCGCGATTTAGCGCGCAATTAGCGAGCGAGCGCTCTCTCGGCGGTTACCCTTCTTTCACCGCGCGCGCGACTTTAATACGGCCTTTAATTCGAGAATGCATAGGCGGAATTAACTTTGTCTTTCATCAAAGCTCTTTTGCCCGTGCGTTCTTGGGGAAAAAAAAAAATCTCCAGCCGGACGGAGTAAAAAGCTCTCGCTAAATTATTCGGAGCGCGAGCGGAAGCGTCGCAGCGCGAGACGACGCGGAATGCACTTTGCCTTGTGACGCGAAATTATTTTCATTTATCAGGTAGACCGGGGCGTTCGTCGCACATTAACGATCCGCAAGCAAAATACGAGGGACGCGAATAAAACGGCGCGGCGAGAGAACTGTCGATCAGCCTGACGAATACTGATTTCACGCTGGACTCTCGCTCGCACGTACACGCACACACACATACACACGTATTATTGCGCCCGTGGGAACACGCTCATCTGGCCAAAATCAACTTTATAACAAATAAATTGAAATCGAGGTGAGGGTTTCAGAGAATCAAGCGAATATATATCCGTGATTTACGAGGAGAGACCGCGAGGCCGCGGACGGTATTGACAGATAACGACAATCGGAAGGGAGCCAAAAAAAAAAAAAAGAAAAGCGCGACGCCCGCGCATATTGGATCGCTCGTTGACGAACGAGAACGGGAAAGACGGAATGAAGAAAATTCGAAAACGCGATGACAGGAGGAGCAAAAACAGTCAAACGTTTCTCCCTTCGTCGCGGGAAGGGGGAGAAGAATTACGGGAGAGAATCCGCGAAACGCGAAATTGGAATCGAATTAAAAAAAAAAAAAAAAAAAGCCGTCTAAGCCAATTAAAATGTTTTGCGGAAGTTTAAGGACCCTCCCGTGGGAAAAGGGTAAGGGTTTTTCGTGCCGCTTCTTTTTTTCCTCAATTACATCGCTCGCGCGCCCCTCCCCCTTTACCGCTCGTCGAATTGGACGCCATTAAGCCGTCCGTTCTCCCGTATAAATGCCGCGTAACTAAGAAAGTAAAGGGAAGGGAAAAGTCCGGCGAAAGATGTGGGCAAAGTTTCTGTTTAATTTCAGAAAGATTTACCTCTCTCTTTTTCTCTCCCTGTGTTGGTGTAACCCAAAGGCGGAGAGAGTCAAAGTTCCAGGAATGTAATATGAGCTTTACTCTTTAACTGTATATTAAAACGGTCCGAAACTTGGCCGTTGAAATTTTAATTTCCGGCGTGGCGGCGTCGTTAAAAAAAAAAAAGAAAAAAAAACTGACGCGTCGCTGCGCGTCCGTGCCGTCAAACGCGGTTAATTCAACGACAAATCACAAACGTGAGTGATACATCATTCACGTCGAGGCGGGACTCTCGGGGATCAAAGAGAGGTTTTTAAATCGGTTTCAAACAGCTGTTATCCGCGAGGGGAGCGCGAGTCGAACACTTTGTAGAATTAGAAACAACTCCGTTACAAAAAAAAAAAAACAAAAAAAAAAAAAACAAAAAAAAACCGGTAGCAGCTGTCCCGGAAGTTTAAATATTAAAACGACGCAACGACGTCGCGCTGAGCGCTCGCCGATAGCGCTAATAGTTATTTCGCGGATCCCCGGGAAAACCCAGTTCCCAGAGCAAGAGGAGAGATACTTTTTGTTGCGAAAACAAAAACCGCTATCCGTATCCCGTCAACGAAAGGACGACGGGATAAAACTGAAACTTTGCGCCACGTATCGTATAACGTAGTCCTTTTGAGCGGGCGAAGCCTGCCGACGAAAATTATGCCGGGACATGCAGTTTTCGGGGTACAAGGAAAACCCTTCTCCGCTTTCTTCAGCGCGATACCCCGACGTCGTAAAAGCCGGAATTTTACGGGAGGGAGCTTGAGTGATGTATCACTTTCCGCGGTTAAACCCGGTACACGTCGCGCGCGTCTTGTTTACGAAACGGGCAGGTATTCTTTCGCCGCTTTTCGCACTCTCTCCCAAAAGAACCAATTTTCGCCGGTTGTGGGTTACTCTCGTTTGTCGTTTGCAGACATAATAATTGCGGTTAATGAACGATATTTCACAAATGCGGTATTAGGTATCAATATACGTATACACCAAGTCGGTGGCGTGTCTCTTGGGTGTTTTGCCGAGGAAACAACAACAACCCCGTGAACTTTCTGTGTGTTTGTCCTGTGTGAGCGACAATAAAAATATTGCCAAGTCCGCGGAATGTTTTGTTCTCATCGGCAAAACAAACAATTCAATAGAATTTCAAATTGTTCTCAATAATACACAAGCAAAAGAAGACAGATAAATTCGACTTTATTCTTTTTTTTTTTATTATCACTTACCTTCGTAACCGTTGAGTTGCGCCTCGGCCGAAACCGCGTCCCCGACTCCGTTCTCGGCGAGACACTCGTACATGGTGTTGTCACGTGCCGGTTTGACAGGTTCGATCCGCAGTAAAGCGCCATTTTCATATTGGTGAACCGCGTACCGGGACTGGGATTCTGTCGAACACAAGACGTTGGAAGATTGAGGCGGACGTGAAAAGGAATAGCCTCTCGCGTCGACAAAAGGCGAGAAAATAGGCGAAGCGCGGCGATCGCGCGCAAAAATGATCGGCGGCGGCGCGCGCGGTGTAAAAGATCGAAAAACGCGCCATTGCGGAATCTAATAAAAGGGGGGTATGTGTGTCCTCTCTTGTATCCAATTCCGCAGCCCCCGAGAAATATTGAATGGGAATTGGATCGCGCGTCTGTATAAATTTCCGAGAGCGACCGAGATCGACCCCTGTTATCGCCTTCTCTCCCACACCCACGGTTCTCTCTCTCTCTCTCTCGATTCCCACCCCGGTTTCTCGTCTGTGCTCACCGCGAATTGGCGTCCAGAATGTTACAAGCGGTCGCTGGCCATTATCTCGTCGGATGTTCCTCGTCGGATTAGAGAGTCGTCGACGAATGTGGACCAATCCCCGGGTCGGTGATCGCTCGGGTACATACATTTCGCGGATCAGCCGAAATGTTATGCGAGACCGTCGCGCGAGATCATCTCCGAACAAGGAGAGGGGGGGATTCGACGCGCTCTTTTCTAGATGTGCGTTTCAAAAATCGAGTTCATAAATTTTACGTCGAATCCAAATTGATTCCTCGGCTTTCGGAACAAATGACCAATTGAAAACTTAACAAAAACTAACAATAATGCCGATCGACAATTTGTAGCGAATATAATTATCGGAATAATGTCGCGTCAAGTGCGGAAAATAGAATTTACAACTTGTTTAACGCAACGCTAAATCGAATTTAGAAGACTTTTCTTGAAATAATATTCGCTTAAGGATAAAATTAGCTCGGGCGCGAGACAGATTTAAACGCCAACAAAAGCGTTTTGTTTTATTTTAAACGGACATAACTACGAATCGATATGATGAGCTTATTTTATTCAACCGAGTTACACCGATATCAAGAGTATTCTCGAAATAGACACAGACAAAAATCTAATTTAACTCATCCGTATATTGAAGTGCCCGAAACGCTCGCTAACGCTCGACTTTTGCGCCGCCAACACGAGCGCAAATATCGGTTGGGAGAGCAAGAACAGGTAAAATGGTAACAAAAGAGAAGCGAGAGAGGGACGCGATAAACGCAAAAAAAAAAAAAAAAGACTCCGGCGAAATGTACGAGACGACACGCGACGAGGCGCGTCGCGGAAAAGCGGCGGAGAATTCGGGTCAGAGGATTTTTTAATTTCGATAAAATTTTCATCCCGTCCCGGTGGGGATCGCGACCGGGGATTTCGCCGCTCCCAAAGACACGACGAGCGGAACCGAAGCGCCAAAAAGACGCTTCTCTCCCTCGAGCGTCTTCAACGGACAGCTGGCGACGATTCGAGAAACGTAAAAAAAAAAGAAAAAATTGCGAACTTACGTGAGATTCTTTTGCCGTTCTTTCGCCAGTGTATTTGGGGTGGCGGCTGTCCCTCCGCAGTGCAGTAGAAGCTCGCTATTCCGCCCGCTTTAACATTCTGCGACTGTGGCTTCACCAGGATCGTCGGTGGACCTGCGAACAAAAGATCACGCGGAATTTTCTGATTAGAACCGGGTCTCATACAAAGGGAGGATTGCCGTGTGTCGTATGACGATCACGTGTGGCCGGGTCGCTCGCTTTGTGACGCATTTCGAGACTTCGTCACCGTCAGTCACGCGCGCGCGTGCGTTTCGCGCGGCGACAATAGATTTTTTTTTTTTCTCTCATTCTTTGGCCGAAATGACGACTCGACGTGCAAAAAGCTGATGCGAAAGCTCTTTATCGATATGTTTATTTATTTTGTTCAAAATTAATTTCTATAAAATTCAAATACATATTAAAAAACAAAAATAAATAAAATAGTGCTCATAGACGTTGAGCGATATTACTTTTCAATACGATCGCAAAGCTTTTCGCGATGAAAAACAGCCGCTATTCCCCAACGCGATCTCTTTTATATCAAATCTTCAATTCGCGCACGATATAAAAGTTATGAAATTCGTGTGCGCTAAAAGTATTAATATTTGTTCAGAAAATTTTTCAAAGCTCTCTAAGAGAGGATAATGAAATTTTCCGCGAAAGATTTCTTGCGCCGAACAAGAATTATTTCTGTCTGTTTGCGTCGGAAATCATTGCGCGATCATCTCTTTTTCGAGAGAGAGAGAGAGAGAGCAACGTAAAAGAGTCGCGAATAAAGAACTGAAAACTCTTCGTTCATGAAAATTGCGCGCTTTGGCGTTTCCCGTTTTATCTCTCGCATGTTAAAAATTCACGTGGCAAAAAGTTCACGGTTGAGCGAGGCTCTCTCGAAGCTCCGTGACGACGCGAAGAACGTTAATTTGCAAAAGAAAATTACAGTCTCCCTCGCTCGGTTACGTGGATATTTTCTTTCCACGCTCCTCTCTCGCGAAGTCCCCACCGAAGGTAATTAGTCCGCTTCTCTGCAATTTGGGTCATTAGTTTTACTTTCCGTCATTTAGAAATGGCTTTCGTAGAATCTTTCGCAAAATGGAGAGAATGACGGGAGAGACAGAGGAGGGGACGGCGTCAAAACGTGCCTCGAGCGAAAAATCTCGAAATGCAAGAAGAAAAAAAAAAATAGTCGGAGACTCCGCGACGGACGAAGAATATTTACCTCCGGTTTTTTTCCAAGTTTCTCTCGCGAAAAAGATTCTCCCGCGAGAATGATCCCGGGATCCCGATAATTGTATCGGGAGGGTCGGGCTCTCGCAGCCCTTTCTGCGAATTAACGTCGTAAAAGTCCGATCTGATTGCGCACGATGAAATTTATACTCGTCGAGAGAGAGAGAGAGAGAGAGAGAGAGAGAGAAAGAGAGAGAGCCTCGTCGTATCTCTCTCATCGATCGCGAGCGCGCCGAGCGCGCGCACACACGACGCTTGCACGAATGCACCGGGTCAGAAGTCGGTGACCGAAATTAGTGGATTTAGTGCGGCGGGAAGTCCAAACTGCCGGCTACGCTTTTAACCCCGGAATAAAGAGACGGCCGGTGCAAGATGGATGAACGTGACGCGCTCCTTTGTCAGACGCGCGCGTCGAGCGTCCTCCGGAGAGAAGGAGAAAGCGAATGAGAAAGTACGCGGGAAACGTACGTAAAAGAGAATCGTCCTGTGGTAAAGAGAGAGAGAGAGAGAGAGAGAGAGAGAGAGAAAGAGAGAGGACGGCACCCAGAGGTGCGACGCTATTTGAAGCGGGACACGCTCACCTCTCGTCGTCCCATTAAATTGGTCTCGAAACTTTGCGCGGGAGGAAAACGACGCTACGAGAAAATCGATGCGTCGTTTAATAAACTTTATGACCGTTTCTTCCTTTTCCCGCTTCCGGTTTGAATGCGAGACAAATATTCCGCAACAAATATCGCGGACGTTTGCGCGCGCGCGACTTGTTGTCTCTTTAAAGTCGAAATCCGAAACGATCCTCCTTTCTCGCCCTCTCCGACGAGACTAATGGATACTAATAAAATGTGATTTTCCAGCTTGAGTGCTAAAAGAATGTTTATCTCGCCGCTGTGTCTCGGGCTAATGCCGGCGTTTATGCGATCGTTTCACGACCGAAAAACGTCTGTCCGACCGTCCCGTTTTACGGTTGCGCCGCCTCGGTAAGCGCGATAAACTCGACTTCTACTACTTGCGCCGGGCGATGCGTCGAGGTCTTCTCCTCTTTCTAGATCATTAGACATACTTTTACGACGTCGCGCGCGGCGCATCGCGCGGGCAATAAAAAAACTTTTTAATCCGAAGCGCAATCGCTCCCGCGAAATAAGGATTCCCCTTGCGCGGAATCTCCGAGGGAGAGATTTTTAGAGAGTCTTAAAAAACTGCGCGAGAGAGAGTTCGTCATATCATCGAGTGGCGTCCTTTTATCGGACGGTAAAAATGGAACGTATCGGAAAATCGTAGAGTTTTTATCGAAAGCAAACGCGAGATATATACATCACATCATCGTGTATGTATGAAAATTGCAATGTTTATGGATTCTTTGGAATTTTGAGGAGAGAGAGTAACAAAAAGGAAAAACGTGAAAATTTGACGTGAAAATTTAAACGTCTTTTTACAATGTCCCAAAGTAATTTTTCGTAGAAAAACACATCGCGCGCTATAAAAATGACACTTAGCACGCTGTGAACGTTAATTTCGCCAGAGTAGATAAACACGGTTCTTTTGTGAAAAATACATGTTATGCGAAAACAAAATGTAACTGAGAAATGAGTGGGAGCTGTCGCTTTTCGTGAAATGAAAAGTTAAACTCCGAGAAAAGCGAGTGTACCAAGAGACTCGACAATTGTTCAGCTGACAGTTACGACCACTCTAATCTGCAAACGCGCAGGTTGGGTGCCTCTTCCGCGTTACGTCCGTCGCGCCGAGCGCTTTGGTTTCGCTCGGTAATTTAAACTAAATATTATCCCGCCGACGCGCGCTGGTAATTTTTGATCGAATTGCGCGTTTAAAATTACTCTTATCCGGATCGGCATTGTAGCCTCGTCGCAATTGTCGTTCTACCGGAATTGCTCGTAACAAGTCCATTAGTCGGCCGTCGCGTCCATACGGCACACACACACACACACACACATACACGCGCGCGTAACAATGTCACGACTTATTGCCTGGCGCGGCTGTACTTTTTGTACAATTTGCCGCTGCGATTCCATCTGACGAACTTACACGGTATTTGCCTTCATACAAACACACACACACTCGCCGCCGAATAATAAATAATGCTCTCTTTCTCTCTCTCGTCGGTGAAAAAAGTTACGACACTTTTCTATCCGGGAAAAAGAGAAAAGAGAAGAAAAATATTGTCGGACCGATGTTAATTAGCTATTTTACGTTCGCGATAAAATTCCGATAAACGTATAAACAGATGAATTACACAGCTCGTAATGAACCAACAAAAATTTGCGTTGTAATATCCCGTTGTCTTGTTGCAAATTCATAAAAGCAATGTTTGAAAACTGATCCTGTGTGAAAAGAAGAACAAAAACAAAAAAACAAAAAAAACAAAAAAAAAACACGCAACACACAGCGTATCGCGATGTTCGATATTGTCATATCGAAACCTGAATCGTACACACGCAGTTAAATCGAGATAGGTTTACGACGCGCGTTGCAAAATGTCCGAAAGAGCAGAATTCTCCGGAACTTCCGTTTTATACGGTAGAGCGATGCCAGTTAAATTCTGACCCAGCAAGTACCGGAGGGAAAAAGGGGAGAGAGAGAGAGAGAGGGATCTATTTCCCGAACGCACAGCAGTTTTCGATCTTCCGCCGCCAAAAGTGACCGTTTGCCCGATTCCATTAAACGTCGATGAAAAGGGGAAACAGAGGGACACGGAAGCGGAGATATGGCGAGCCGAATAACGTTCGCGAAGAAAGCGATCGCGCATCCGGCGATTCGAAGATGCGACAGAGCTCGCATCGAAAAACGAAACAATATTAATGCGCAATTTGTTTTATTTAATTATCTTTGAAATTCACAGTTTGATATTCATTACGTTCCGCGCTTTTCCGATTGTTATTGCTTATTAGCGTGAGTTGAATAATAATGCCGGATATATAATATGCGAAACAATTTCCGGTTTTGAAAAACAAAACGAAAACAAAAATAAATACTTTTGTAATCACACACTCGTCAGATAACTCATCGAGAAATTACGTAAAAATTACTTTCGCACAGTTTTCCAAAGTGTTTTTCCGCGCGCGTGTGAACGACCGAAATTATTAATACCCGAAGTAATTTCTGTTTAATTTGAATAGATCGGAATTAAGCCGGCGCGCGCTTATTCACCGATCGCCAAAGCGCAGTTCGTAAACGTATCTAGCGCGGGCTATTAACCTATTATATTCCAATAATTGATTTATCATACGTGACTGTTAGCTGGAAATATAAATACCGGAAATAATACAACGGAATATTATCTTTCTCTTATTATGAATTTTGATTTAATTGTGGCACAAAGATTTAATCTCGCCAATATTTTCAATATATATTCCGGGCGAATTAAAGCACGCCGCTGATTATATTTTGGGAACTAATTTACTTCAGCGGTTGTGACATTTATCTACTGGAAATTCTCACTCACTCACTCTCTCTCTCTCTCCCGTGCTATTCTCTCCTCGCGAATATAAATCATTTCCCGGTGAGTCGATAAAAAACAACAAAAAAAGAAAAAAAAATCGCAGAAACAGGCACGATGAATGTGATTTCGACGAGAACGATAAAAGGAAAGCGCGCGCGGGAGGTGGTGGAAAGGAGGGAGCTTGGTTGTCAAGGCGGGAGTAATAGCTCGGCTGGAAAAATATTGAAAAAGCCTGCACGTGCCCGCCGCCGCTCGCTTTTCCTAAGAGAGAGAGAAAGAGAAAGAGAGGGAGAGACCGACTCTCTCGTGTGCGGGATGGGTTGCGCGAGCGAGCCCGGGAGTGTACACAAAGATTAAACGTTGGTGAAAATTAGATTGCGAAAAGCGAGGCATGCCCCGCTGTTGCATCCCGCGAAATGAATGTCGGACCACTTCCACA